AAGCAGAGGTTGTCATGCGCTTATTTGTTTGCATGCCAAATCCCTTAATGCAAAAGAATGTCACGTTATATTGCCCCTTATGATAGCAACCTTTATGATGCAGTCTGTTGCTTTTATTCTTTGCCATCACAAGTTCGTACAACGCTCAATTTTCTCTTACACTAAATGATCCAACACATTTAGAAGCAATTTTTATTGCCTTATTGCACCGATGACAACTTACTTGAAGGATCTTACTCAATCCATAGGTAGGTGTGGTGGACTCTTAAAATGAGATTTGGTTAAGGGTTTTTGGATGCACAAGTAGTATCTCTACTTAGTGCGGAATTTTTGGCTAGAAAAGATATTGAGCAAGCACCACATGTTAAAGGATCTATTACAATATAACTTCTATGTGAATATGAACAAACATAAATCATTACGTTGTCTTCCTTGTCCAATGTCAACTATTTTGATACAAAATATTTAATGGGGGCTCACAATCATAAAAGATGTCCAAGATAGTGTATTTGCATGTGAATCTTCTCTTCCCTTATTAATTCTTTCATGGGATGCATCATTGACCAATGCTATGTTTGTCAATCTCCAATTAATTTTACGACTTATACTTTTCCTTATGTGATGTCATTACTTACCATAAGATTAGCATATGATCTTTTTTCATTTATTTTCCTTTCTTTTATTGCAACATGGAAGTAAAGAAACAAAAACTTAAAATAAACTTTATTATATATCTAGCACACGATCACATAGATAAATATATTACTAAGCAAGCACTCGAAAACTGGTCGAACTAAAATTTTATTGAACTAAACTAAAGGATAACTAAAGATCAAACTAAAATAGATAAAGGCAAAGATAGTGGTGATGATACTATACCAGGGCACCTCCCCAAAGCTTGGCACAAGCCAAGGGGAGTGCCCATACCATGAACCCAAGTCTCCTTTGGTGGTGAAGATGATGATGGTGGTGGTGATGAGGTAGTAGCATCACCCTTCAGGCTTAGAAGGTACTCCAATCTACGAATGATGCTCCGAAGGGCGATGACATGCTCTTGCAACATAATATTTTCATGAGTGAGATATTTATTTTGCACACGAACCATTTTAGTGATCCTAAAAGCTTCAATTTCAATAAGGGTAAGATGATCGTAGTAAGGTTGAAGAATGTCTTCTTCTTCTACTGCTGGAATGACCTGCCCTTCTGCCGGAACTTGATCTCCCGCGACTTCCTTGCCCTTGTCAACCTTGGTGGCTTCCTTTGGTTCCTCCCTTTTTAGTTCTATCTTCATCAACCAAGCATCTCCTTCCCCGTTGTTGGAAAAGGGAGAAGACATGATGCCTGGCTTTGCTAGATCTGACAGAAAAACAGAGAGAAAGAAGAACAGAGGATTTAGCCGCCATACGGTGGTCAATACGTTCGGGGGGTATATAAATATATATTTTTTTATCTTGGGAAACAAGCAAAACGAAGGGAAAACGGAGTCGGGAAGGTTACCGAGGTGGGCACAACCCACATGGGTGCGCCCTGGTGTCTTGTGCCCTCCTCGGGTGCCTTCCTGGTTGTTTATTATTTTCCTAATTTTAGTAATACTAGTTGACCCGTTGCGCCAAATGGCGCAGAGACCTGCTAAAGCCATGTTGTCGATGAAAATAGTTTCATTTTGCAGGGACACATTTGATATTGGTAGTAGAAAGCCCTTATGTTAGGTCATGCTATATTTAAAATATGCTTATCACGCTGAGAAATCTCGGTTGAAAAAAAATCATATTTGTATAACATGCATAGACCAGCTAAGGAAGCATTCTTTTAGTAGAAAATATGGTTATCACTATGAGAAATCCGAGTTTGAAAAAAAATCATATTTGTATAATATGTATTAGAGCAGTTAAGGATGTACTTTTTTCACAGCGTTTGCACTAAACTTTTATTTTTCATGTGCACAAGAGAAAAAACCTCACTGTGTTGTGCATATGGAGGCATAGGTATTTGAAAGGCCCATATGCTACCTAGCCCGGTCCAAGAACAATTCTTTGTGTTGTTGTTTATCCCCTGTTTATCCCCTTTTCTTCCTTGGTCCCTCCTTTGAGCGAGAGAAGCGTACTCAAGTGGCGAGACTTCTCCTTTCCTATTATTTCGGATTTCTTTGCATACATGGTAATAACATAAATGGCCCATTACACCAAATAGTGCAATGTACATTTCAAAAACAGAAGTGTTTTGAAAATTAAATAAGTTTTAGCACGAAGGAACAGTCCAGACTTGAAACAACGGATGCAACCACTTTACCAATTCAAACTCTCAACCATTTATGATTGTGATGTCAAATGGCACAAGGTGTCGATTTAGACTTTAATTGAAATGTGTTTCATTTGTTCTTTACGAAGTGTTAGATACAATTTCACTGCACATAAGAATTTTCAAGCTCGATTAAAAAGGTATTTTCAAGCATACAAACCACAACTACACAACGCGAATGTAAATATATATGACCAAGTCATATTTCCTAATAGAAAAGCAAGGAACGGACTGGTACTAAGTAGGCTGTTTTAGAGAGATTGTGGTAAATTACAGTTCATTATTACATGCAAAATGTTTTTGCTTCGGAGCAGAACACTGATCTATCTTTGTCTTCATATCCTTTTCTTCTCAGAGGTGTAGTGTGCTGCCTTGCTCCTATTCATGGCTCTTATCCTACAATTTTTGAACAATCTAAATTAGTTATTCATTCAATGGGAAATCCGAAGTGGGGATTACTTCGCCAATATCGTTAGCAAGTTTATGAGGTAAAAGAAAGCGATGTAACATCCAAAAGCGAAGGTAAGAATGAAGTACATAATATTGTAGCTGGGAAAGTAGGAACATGAGCCGCTACATATTTCAGGAAAATGGTCGAGGTTCCCTGATCCTAGTAACATGAGCTGCAATTATTTTGTCAGGGGCTCATGGCTGTATATAATTTGCACAAGCAACATCCCCTTCGATCACAAAGCTATATAATCTATATAATGGACAAAAATGGAGCTTTCGATAACCTGTATGCCTATTTTTCCTACCATAGTGTGATGAGGCTTTGAAACTGCACATACCAGGATTTTCATGGGACCATTCAGGACATTAAAAAAAGATACAAAAACTGCATTCAGCTCCTCCGTCTAAGGCTACCTCAATAATAAACCAATACTTCATAATAGAACAATCTGAAAAATATATACGAGAACAATGCAAATTAATCTTGCAGCACCTGCTAAAACTGTAAAACCAACGGTGCTCTTCTTCTGTGCAGTATTATATCCCAACTCTATACCTACGTCAAGCAATGAAGAAATGGTTATACCTGTAGATCCACCGATGGAGCAGCATCAGGCTAGCGAGCATATCTTTGACCATCCAAGGTGAAGAATGCACAACTGTCAGACAACAACACTGGCCCTATCGCACCATAACTATGCATTCTACATATACTTCTTCAATAGCAGTTGGTGCAGTCCATTGATTCTGCCACAACAATCAAACCCATAAAGGTAGAGTCCCTTGCTCGGAATATCCTACTTCTTTTAGCTCCTCATAGCTTGCATTTGATTAGTCCACTGAAAAAGAAAACGATCATTAAAAAGGAGAAAGTTAAGAAAGGTGCTCCTGACAGAAGTATAAAAGAAACAAATTAGACACCAACACATTGTCTTTTCTATTTGACACCCATTGTCTTTTTTATTAGACACTAACACATTGTATTTTCTATTAGCCACTAACAGTAGTATAAATGAACTCATGAGCAACGCTTACAACAGTATTCAGAACAAAAAAACTAACACTTCCATAATGGAACAAGAATATACAACTTCAGAGAGGAAAGGACAGGTGTAACACATCAAACTAACCTATATATTTTGTTTTTGTGTCTACATATACAAAAGAAAACATTCAAATAATGATCTACAAGACATAAACATTAAGCTGAAAGGTTCATCATTATAACTATATTTTGGGCTAGTAACCTACTAATATATCAGTTCTACCAGCGGCAAGTCTGAATATGTGCAAGCAATATTGTACTCCCTACAAAATGCATGTTCCCCAAACTGGAAGTATACATCTTGTTGCATTGCTCAGTATGGCACCATAGTGATGCCTGAACTCTCGCACTGAAAAGTTTTAGTCTATACCTAATTGCAATAGGCAAGAAATTATTTTTACCAAAAAATGTAAACACAGAGGTTTGGTTTATTTTAGACATGGTCTGAGAGGAATGAAGGATCAGGAATTCAGGATTGTGACAATTGTTTTAGAACACAGTTCAGTATAACCGATAAAAAGCTTACTAAAAGCAGCCATATCTAAAGCTTACTAAAAGCAACCATATCTAAAGCTTACTAAAAGCAGCCATATCTTCACTTTTTAAAAGAATGTCTTTTTTCAACCTCTCTGTTTTCTAAAGGATACTTCCTCTCAACAAAATACATGAAAAAAATGTGCACAGAATCTTACCCATATGCCTGGCAACTATAAATTCTGTACCAGAGTACACACCATAAGCCCACAGTTAACATAGCCAAAAAACAAGAAAAATGTGAGCCAAAGTGTAATAAGGATAATGAAATAGGGAGAACTTCAGATAAGAAGATGGCACCTGTACAGGTAGCATGGAGGGAGTCAAAAGACAGTATCATCACATCTCCTTTCAATTTTTAGCCTACGAAATGCTACACATAAAACATGAACTAAGAAGAATGAACATGCTACTTCTAGATCCATGGACGTGCAAGCACCATGGAGTAAAATCGCACAAAAGAAATTAAAAAATACATAGGAGGAGCAAGAGGAGGAGGGGCATGAGGAGAGAAGAGCATGGGATTGGAAAAAGGAGCTGACGTGCAACCAGAAGGGAAGAGACGAGAACGCATCACCTTCCGGACGCGTCGTCAGCAAGGAAGAGAGGAAGAGAATGTGCTGCATCTCTGCTTCTTCGACCCACCGCCGGCCTCCTGGCAATCCCCTGGTCATCCACCCCCACGACGGTGCCGCCCTACTCTCCCATGGCAAGTGCCAGGGCCATGGCTGGGCCGAGCCACCTCCCTCATCAGAGGAGGCTGGTGATGTTCGGCAGCACCGCCGCCATAGCAGGGGCGAGTTGTGCGGAGATGCCGGTTAATTAGGCAGTCAGAAACGAGAACGAAACTGCAGTCGACCAGAGAGATCCATGTACACTTACGTTGAAGGAAGCGATGGTCCCGGGTCCCGGCGGACATGCCGGCAACGAGCCTGATGTCGAGATCGAACCGCCCGAAGAGGTACCGGTCCTTGGACTCCAGCCTGGACCCCGTCTCCCGGTCCAGCGCTAGCTCCACCACCCATCCGTCGTCGAAGTCCCGGTGCAGGCTCCGACCGGCCTTCAGGGCGGCCACCGCCCCCGTCGCCGCCGACACGGCCACGGCCACGGCCAGGAGCCGCCAGAGGGAGCCACGCAGCATCTCTCTCTGAATTTTTGAAATGGGGTGGCGATCAACGGCGAGATGTCGCGAGAAAGTGAGAGGAGTGGGGGCGACGGGGGCTCAACTCAAGGGACACGATGACGATGAACTCGGGTGCCATGGCCCGCTGGAAGAAGCAGAAGCCCTCTCTCTGCTCCTTCCCTGCCGGCCTCCCCATTGCCGTCCTCTTTGGCCTCCTCCTTTCCCTTGTCGTTGGCATCCTCCCCTCCCCTACAGCTCCACCTCCACTGTGAAGACCCCGTCATCCCTGCTCCCCCACGACGATGGCCCAAGCCCCGATCCGGAACCATGACGGTAGGGAATAGGAGAGGAGGAGGCGAGCAGAGAGATAGGGCCGGCGGCGTGGGTCAGGCAGAGGAGGCGGCTGCGAGCGAGGAGCAAGGAGGCCGATGTGCGATTTTTCTTCTCGTGCGCTCGTGACTCTAGGGTTGGCCTCTCTCTCCTCCTCTGATGAGACACAATGCTAACCCGCTAAATGACATACATGTGGGCCAACATCCAACAAGGGCCACCCATCATAGCGTGGACGGGTAGCGGTGAATGTGCACATATCCTGCCGGAACGCACGTCGCGCGCGGCGGACGTGATTGGAGGACCAAGAGTCAGCCAGGCCCTCACTCTCCATACGCGAGACGAGACCGCTCGCCCACTCCCGATACGTCAGACGGGACGCGACCGAACCCAGACGAGGCAGGCAACACACACACATAAAGGTCACAGGAGGACGCCGACGCGTGGGACCAAAACATAGCCAGGCCCACTCGCAGCCGCACCAGAATTCCAGCCAGAGGAAAGAGTGGGGGGCACAGCCCGCGCAAACTGACAATGCGCGCAACACGCGCACGCGGAGCGGTAGGAGAGGCTGACCGCGCACCCCAAGAATGGGCACCCAGCCAATCGAAAAACGGCCGAGCCCACCGGTCATTTCCCATGCATGTTTCACCGTTCGGTCAAAATGGCAACGCACGTTTTCGAGCTAGATCCAACGGCCAGCAGAGAAGAAAAGACCACATTGACCACAATCGGACGGTGAGCGAAGGATGAAATCGAGGGAGCTCCCTAGGAGCGAGTTGCCTAGCCTCTGTTTTGTTTTAAATTCCAAAACTGACAAAAAATATTTTTGCGGATTTTTTGGAGTCCATTTACTTACCGTATCACGTACCTCCTCTTTTTTACAATTCTGGAGTGTTTTGGAAGGTTTCTTTTATGTGTTCCTCCGGTGTCATGGTTTGAATAATATTGCTTTCAACATTAATAGGCGTACCTGAGATATAGTGCTTAATTCTTTGCCCATTGACCACCCTCAGGTTAGTACCTTCGGTATTATTAATCTTAATAGCTCTAGGGCGATAAACCTCTTCGATAATATATGGTCCTTCCCATTTAGAGAGAAGTTTTCCTGCAAAGAATATGAAACGGGAGTTGTACAAGAGGACATGTTCTCCTACTTTGAATTCCTACTTTTGGATTCTCTTGTCATGCCATCTTTTAACTTTTTATTTAAATAATTTTGCATTTTCATAGGCTTGGGTTCTCCATTCATCTAAAGAGCTAATATCCAATAACCTCTTTTCACCGGCAAATTTAAAATCATAGTTGAGTTCTTAAATTGCCCAATATGCTTTATATTCTAACTCAAGAGGCAAATGACAAGATTTTCCATAAACCATTTTATAGGGAGATGTCGGTGGGAAATGACACTGTGGGATCACGAGGATCCCTTCTGCGGTTGTGGGGCGCGGGGTTGTGAGAAGAGCAGGATTAACAATCAGCACAAGGATCATTTACCCAGGTTCGGGCCGTGAGGATGCGTAAAACCCTAGTCCTACTTTGGTGGATGTATTGAGTGTTCTTGAGCTCTTGAACTAGCTACGGTGACTGCGTGGTTCCAAAGAGTTGAATCCCTCTCCAGTACGCCATGGGCCTCCTTTTATAGTCGAAAGGGGCTGCCACAGTGGCACACAGGAGGTGGAAAGGCCTACAGTGCTATGAGCTTATCGCTCGTACTACAGGACAAGGCGCATTTAATGCGTAGCTTAGGTGTCCTCTTGCTATACGGGGATGGGAGCGAGGCACGTCCCGTCCGTCGCCGCTCCTCCTCGCTTCGACACGCGCCCTGGCCAGCGATGCATGCGGCGCCATGTAGGCAGGCAACCAGCTGAGGTGGCGCGATGGTGGAGCCTCCACGAAGATCTGCATGCCACCACGCAGGCGTGTGCTGAGTTGGCCTGGAAGCTGCATGTTGCCATGCAGGTGTCTGCCCAGCTAGTTGGGCTGGCAGCTGCATGTGAACGGCGGTGGGGACTTAGTTGGCGCGGGCCTGGTAGTGGCCCCGCTGACGCCCTTGGCAAGGGCCTTGCTGGGTGGCCCGGCAAGGGTCTTGCCATGGCGCTCTGTCGTCCCCGGCAAGGATCTTGCCGGGGGTCTTGCGGGTTTCCTCGGCAAGGATCTTGTCGAGGATCATTGCCTTCCAATCCTCATCTGATCTTGAATATCCTTTGTCTTCACAAAGATCTGCATGCCACCATGGAGGTGCCTCCCGAGCCCTGGCCCAATGTAGTTGATGGTGTTGGAGACCGTGGGTTCGAGGGTGGCTCACTCCGCTGGTGTGGGCGAACCGCCCCGGCAAGGAGCTTGTCGGGGCTGCTGAGGCTGCCCTTGCCGGGTAAACCTGCTTCGTCCATCTGCTCTCTGTGGTCTCGGTCTTTGGCGTTGCCTTGTTTGTCTTGTGCCTTCGGCTTCTCTCCGGCTCCCCTCCTTTACCCTGCTATGTGCGGCTGTGGCGCATGGCTCTAACTGCCCTTGCACAAGTAAAGGGGTCAAAAGGAGAGCCCCTACTTTTGTACACCGACAGGAGCCACCGAGCCTGGGCCATACATAAGCGCGACACGTTGTTGGGCCAGGCCCAGAACGGCGCGCGGGCAGGCGGGGCGGATTTTTCTGCGGTAACTATTTCGTCCGCTGCGCTTCCCCACGACCCGTGTTGAATGCGCGACGTGGGGGTCGCGCGTGTGCGCATGACTGAAGCACGCTGGTGTCATCTTGTGGTGGATAGTTAAGAGGCGGCTTGCGTGTCTCCTCGAGACCGCAGGGCCACTGCTCATTTACTGCCCGTACTTGGGAACCGTCGCTCCACGCGTCCCATTGCGCCCGTCTCTTGCGCCATGTTTGTTGCATGCATGACGCAGAGTGAATGACAGGTGCGCGGGATATGGGAAGTTGCGCGCGCGTGGGTCGGTTCCCCACGTGCCTTCAATTGGGCGGGGAGGGCGGTCGACGGCCCTGCCCGTTGTCACTTCAATGGGCCGGATTGGCCGAGAGGGGCGGCTGAGCCCCGCCCCCTCCCCTTTATAAAGAGGGGAGCAAGAGGAACGACGCCTCTCAATCCTTCGGCATCTGCTTCTCCCCATTCCTGCTTCCTCCTTCCTTCTGCCATGGTGAGGGGGCGTGGCGACGCTTCATCGGTGGCGGCGAGGGTCTCGGCTAGACAACGCATCTCTCCTCCCCAAGAGCTCGTGGCGGCAGAGCCAGCCGTTAGAGGAAGGGGAGGGGCAAGGTCGAGGCCGTCGCGGCGCCCGGGGAAGAGGAGGACGGGGCAGCGCATCGGCCTCGCCTCCGCCAGTGGGCCCTCCTCCGATGGAGGGCCACATCGGGGACAACCCCTACGAGTTCTTCCTCAGGCTGCGCCAGCCGCCGCACCGTCGTCTTTGTCTCCTAACCCCATTTGCGCAGGAGATGGAGCTGGACCCGTCGCAGGCACTGCGGCTGCATATGAGGGGTTGCGGGAACAGCGGTACATGGGCCGACGTCAAGTTCCCCGCCCCTCACATCATGTATCTCGCCAAGGGTGGAAGACCTTTTCCTGTATCCACAGCCTGACGGAGGGGCTCACTCTCCATTTCAAGTTAATGGAGAGCGTCCTCCTCTCCGTCAAGGTCTTTGGGCACTTCGGGACTCGCGTAAGGTGCTGCGTGGAGAGCTCCTCTGACGATGGAAACTCTTCCTCAAGCGAGAGTGACGAGGAGGACAGCGGGGCAGATGACGGGGACGAGTCCGACTAAGCGTCAGACGCCCCACGCCTAGGCGGGTGCGGCAGCAGCAGCATCTGCACCTGGCCGCTCCTCCGGCGGAATCTGCCGGGGGAGGGGCCAGCTCCTTGAACTTCTCGGGGTCGTCTCCTTGGGCAGCTGGCGTTGGGAGACTGCAGAAGAGGAAGAGGGCGGGCGGCAAGGCCGTCAAGTCGGAGTACGTCGGCACCGACGCCTTCATCGCGTATTGACGTTCTGCCGCCTCGTCTTCGAGCTCTTCCCCCGGCACCGTCATCACCAGCCGGCCTTTGGACGGCCACCGAGATGTTCTCTTGGTGCTTTCTGCCGCTCGTAGCTTGCCTAGGCGCCCCTTTTGCCCCTTTTCGCTTCCTTGACCTGCCTCCTGAGGAGAGGGACAAGAAAGGGATTACGAGCATCTTATCTCTTTTTTCTGTAAGCCTTCGGGCCTTTGTTAAATTTAGAACTTGTAATCCCCTTGCTCATGTTTTTCACTCCGTATGAATTGTACCTATACGGGATGTTTTTAATGAAAAAGGGATGTTTGTCGGGTTTTTCGTTCGTGGGTGAAACCCGCGACAAGGAGCAAATCCTCGTTATTATTTAAGATAAATGTTTTTCGCCCGGCAACATGCCTTGTCGTCCCCCCACTTTGCTCGACCTTTCTCGCGCCCTTGGCGGAGGCAGGGATGAAGCAGGCTTAGGCTCCTCGTTCCATTTCCTTGCTGCCGCGACTACAACCAAATCCGGACCCAGGAGATAATCCTTGGGTACATAAACAGGGGAGCACGGTAGCCTAGAAATAAAATGAGGTTTCACATATCCCAGTTGCATATCGAAATGCATGATAGAGGATAAAAGACTTATCTGGATCTGTAGCCCCCAGCAACCTTGGCTTGCCGTGGTTGGATCCTTGTACTTGCAGCCCCTAGC